TGTGATTGTCTATATCATTTTATATTTTTGTGATTTTTATGTTTTAACAGATTTTTTAAATTTGATTAATTTTAACTATTATTATAATTTCCAACGATTATCACTCCCTTTTGAGTATCTTCCCTAAATGAATGTTTGACTAACAAATTTCGTCGTGAGAGTTTATTTTATTTTGTCTATTTTGTACACTAAGAGTACCCCACGAAATTAATGTTACATCGTTTGCGTGTGTACACACCGCCAATTAAATAGGAAAATAAGTTTGATAAATGACGTCATTAGTTGATTAAAATTAATCGAGTGATAACGAGTTCGGACCGTGACCACCTGAAAGCCCATCGAGCTCATTAATTTAGACATGTTAATGAATTACCGTCTAAGTGGCAAACGCCGCCGTCTTGGAAAACGGAGTTTGCACCTTGATAAAATTCAAAATTATTAAAACTTTAAATCCTTCAAAGCCAACATTTCCGCGCTACTAAAAACAGTAATTAGCTTATTCGTCATACAAAGCTTTCGGGAAAATCTACGAAAGCTCTTAATAATCCATTAGACTAATTTTTCATGCTTTTGCTCACGGCTGCTGACGCGTCCTTTTATTTTGATTTGGGCCGCGTAGAGGATGACATTGCGGTTTATTCGTAACGTTCGCCGCACGCTATATCCAGGTGATGAATATGATAGAAACATTTGTAGGAAGGATTTTAAGATAATAATAATAATAGAGTTATATGTCCTACAGACTTTTAAATCCAATTATAGCATAAAGATAGCATTATAATAGGTAGTGTACATACATGTGAAATAAATCTAATTAAAAAAAAAATAAGAAAATTCACCTATATTAAACAATTATTAAGACAGAAAGAGAGAAAAAAATAAGAAAAAAACTAACGTAAGTGAATCCGATATAAAGTTATAAAGATGCAAAAAACAGAAAGAAAACACGAATTAAATTAAACTATTCATCCCTTATACAGGGTGACAATTTGAAAACTTACCACCCCCCATATCTTAGTAAATAAACGAGATATTTAAAAAAAATCAAAATCCGTTTCGGTAATTCGGATGGGGAATCACAATGACATAGTTGGCGACGCACCCCCTCCAACCCAGCCACCCTAACTTTTAAATCTTAAATAGTGACCCCCCATGTGTGATACGTCGTTGGAAAGCTATGAAAAAATGCTTTCCAACCATACCAAATAGCATTACATTTAGGTTAGTAGTTATCGTGCAAATCAAAAAATAAACATGGAAAATCGTATTTAACTTGAACTTCCAAAGCCGACTCGACAGCAACTCATTTTTGATCGCCAGTTATAATCTATTCTCAAACTCTTGTCGAACCTTTTCAAATGTTGGTTTTGCAATATTTCGACATTCTTGAATTATTCTCTGTCTTAGTTCGTCTATGTTCGCCGGTTTTTAATACGACAGATTTCAAATGTATCATATTAGTTTATTTTTTGATTTGCACGATAATTACTAACCTAAATGTAATGCTATTTGGTATGGTTGGAAAGCATTTTTTCAAACCTTTCCAACGACGTATCACACATGGGTGGTCACTATTTAAGATTTAAAAGTTGGGGTGGCTGGGGCGCAGGGGGTTGGAGGGGGTGCGTCGCCAACTATGTCATTGTGATTCCCCCTCCGAATTACCGAAACGGATTTTGATTTTTTTAAATATCTCGTTTATTTAATAAGATATGGGGGTGGTAAGTTTTCAAATTGTCACCCTGTATAACTAAGAATGCATTTCAATCTACAAAAATGTATGTCATAGCCTACACATCTTAAATTAAAGTTGTTGCACATAACATGAATAGGTGCACGCTGCAAGATGTTACTGTGCGACATATCGTTATAAAATGTGTGATGTTTTCTAGTCCGGTGTAGAGTACATGGAAGTGAACTGATGATAATAAATATGAGCAATTTACATTATTGTGTAAGAGTTTATAAACAAAAGCAACACTACTTTTACATCTTCTTGTTTCAAGCGACTCTACAACGATTGAGCAAATTGTTATGGTCGGTTCCTCTAACAGGGTATACTCCATCTACCTTAAAAGCCATATATTTAAGCGTCCTTCTTTGTATCGACTCTAATTTTGTGATCTGATAATGATATGTTGGGTACCATATTAAGGAGCAATATTCCAGTTTACTGCGTATGAGATGAAAAAATAATTTTCGAATTGGTGTTATATTAGTGAACGACTTACACATGTGCCAACGTTTTCAGTGACGAATTGTATAATTCATCTATATGCTTCTTAAAAACTAATTTATCATTAAAATATACTCCAAGATCTTTTATGTCTGTACAGTGATTTAAAATAACGTAATTAACGTGGTATCTAAATATAACTGGTTCTATTTTACGCGTGTATGACATAACTTTGCATTTTGGCGTGCTTAATGATAAACGATTGCTGTCAGACTGTCACACCAATCTTTCAATACATTTAGTTGCTGTTGCAGAAACAAACAATCACTATTGGATTTGATTGACATATACATTTTCAAATCATCTGCGAACAAGAGGATATTACAATTCAAAGCAGAGGTAATGTCGTCCATAAATAATAGAAACAATAAAGGCCCAAGGTTAGAGCCTTGGGGCACTCCAAAGCTTGGAAAAATGGGATTTTCTGCTATAATGTTATAGATTCCAAAACATGCACGATGTAGGTAAATTTTACTGTATAATATGTAACCTCCGACTGTCTTTGGTTAGTCAAACTAGTGATTTTCGTCGTCGCCACCTGAACTCTAAGGTTTGAAAATTTTCATAAAGCATTGCAAAATGTGTCAACAATTACATTAATTTCCGTTTTCTATAAAGCCTACAGAGGTGTACCTATCTATTTTCGGTTAACCCGCAGAAATTCTAGGGGTGGGCGAGATGTAACAAAACAGTTTCCTGAACTGAATCCATTTATTTAAATTTTTTAGTTAAGCAATAAAGTGTTAACTGTACACTTTTATAGCTCATTGGTTCAATTTCCGCTAGATGGCTCCGTTTGTAGGAATTTAAAAAATAGGTCCTTGTTTTTGAGAAACTAAATCATGCCCGTGACTAAGTTTTGAATTGAGGCACAGGCTAAGACCTCTTGCATTGTCACACTATTTCTTTAGGTACTTTATCAAAGAAGTACAATTTTTTTCATTAAGTGATATGGGTGCTCAAAAATACTACAACTTTGAAAAAATAAAATGGAACCATGGCTTATAAATCAAAATGAAGAGTATTAAAACAACTTTCTTCCCACTAGAAAATAATTTCACAGATGTTCAATATGACCCCCTCCAGATACTCGAGCTATATCCATCAATGCGTGCACGATCGTCCCAAACCCTTTGTACATACACCCCTTCTCAACGAACGGTTTATGCCAACGTGTGATATACCACCTATCAGGAGGTTGAACACCATACTTCATTCGTACGTTGAAGAACTATCGTAACACAAAACGCTTTCTGTTTACCGGTGGCCGTCAGAGCTTCCAGGAATCGTGACAGAGTGTAATGTGTTCTCCTTTTTCTCATTGCTGTTTTCGATTTTGAAAGTTACAATATTCTTTTTGGATCGACCTGTACCTTCGCAACCTACCACAATCCCGTAGCAACATCAGTGTTGGGAGTGTTAGAATTACACTCAGACTGGACACCCTGTTGCGCAGTGTGACGAGCCTAGTGTTTATATTGCTATTTGCTGTGGGACTGCTGGAGTGACTTGAATTCCTGTCTGAAATCTCAAGGAAACGGAAAATGGGGGCAGTATAGGATCGCGTCTCACCTCCTTCTCCGAACAAGACGATCCCTCAATTAAAATCGAAGATACATCAGATTTTTCTCATCCCGAATTGAACGTTACCACTAACTCAATAATGCCGAGGCTGAATCTCACCACGACTTTCCATCTTTTGGACCAGCTTTTATTGGTTTTGTATGCCATTCTATGTTACCGAAGTGTGAAAAGCCGGATGTAGTGAGGGAATTTCAACTCAATTCTTTTTCGTCGACTGACTCAGAACATTTCGGTGTACTACCAACACACGAATAAGTAACAGAATTAGCTACGGAAACGCGAACTGATATTTGAGGGTTGGAAGTGGCTGAATTCTGGCCTCAACTGACAGCTGCTAAATCCCCTTTTTTTAAAGGTAAAATATTAATTACGAAGCTGCCGTAAGTTTCGCGCCCATCCAAACACTACAAATTTATCTAAATTACTCCAATTTATGTTCATGGACATGCGAAAATTAAAATATAAGTAAAATACAAAAGACGCAAGCAAAAACAGATAATTATTCCCTTCGGCTAAATTTAATATGCTATGCATTATCCACTCGCATATTTGGGCAGACCTCAATTCCAATTACAAATAATTGACGTTATCCGCACCCCTTTTCGCAAAGGTTATAACAAAGCAATGAACAAGATGCATTAATCTCGAGACAGTTTTAAGCCACACGCAAGTTTTGTGAATTATTATAAAAGCTACGTGTAAATTATTATGTATTCAATTCAATTAATCAGTTGTAAATGAAAAGAAATTACTTTGCATTACTGTGGAACATCATTATCTATTACCCGCAGTATTACACATTTTTGTTAACATCACTCCGCCATTTCTTACATTTCACATACCTCCCGGATTTTCCCGAAGACTATTTTACTACCGAACGAAGATCATTACCCTCTGATACCCGAACCGCCTGACTTCATGTTACGTTATTTATTTTATTTTATTAAGTATTAATTTTCTTTTCCTCGACAAGAGCACATGTGGATCACTGAAGGATATGGTAGATGTATTTTAGATGTTAGCTAACCAATTTTACTATCAATAAATAATATAAACCGCCTAGCAGTTTTTCTGAGTCTTACCCAAAAGTGATGATTGATGATCTTGCTTTAGTTGGGCGTTTCCAGTGTTTCATAAACTTACCTTAAAGTTTCTGATACTGTGAAGTAAAAGAAAATACGTTATTTTATATTTAATATAAAATTTATATCTCCATTTACAAAATCTTATAAAATATTAACAACATGAAAATTTGTATCGAACATTTACATTTAATTTTATTGTCAACAAATATGATTAAATAAGTAATGTTTAAAACATAATCAACAGAAATAGTAATAAAATTCTCTTTAACATAACGTATCAAACGACAAGGGAGGGGGGCCATGCAGTGCGAGATCAGTTCTTAACACGGGTCCATCTGGGAACAGTTTAGGTAAGTTAAAGTAGAACGCCATAATGACCTAAATTTACCTGTGTCCTTGACAGGATAGGGTCACTACCACTATCATTTATCGTTATTGGCTCATTTTGCATGGAGCAAGATACGTGTGGATGCACTACTTGACGTTGCTTCCTTTGTAAGGTTGATAACGTATATGGAGGGCTGAGAGGCTGCAAACACGGTAGTACTTGAGTAGAGGGTTCTCTTCCACCATACACAATCGCCTCCTGTCGGTATAACGCATTATTAGGCGCTGGTTTGTTGTATATGATATAAGGCACCCCTCGATTAGGTATAGAAAGCTGAGTGAACTGCTCTTCATTCTGGAAGGGATTCGTTACACGAATGTTAACTTAATTTGAACTACCTGATCCGACGTCCTATACTCATCATAGTGACTATTTTGCCCTACTATAACAACGGGCGCTTGAAATCTAGGATACGTACAAACAGGGCCGTTGTTAATTAATATATAACCCTGTTTATCGTCCTCAAAAAACTCCTCCGCGTTGTTATGGGGGATAATGTCTGGATTCTTTTCTTCTAAGCTTTCCATACTTCCATTCATTTCGCCGTTGGTCTCAATGTTGCCCTTATCCGCTCCATTGGTTGTACATTGCGTGACTGACAAGGATAAACCCTCGTCATCGTACGTCTTAAGTTCGCGTTCATTTCCGCAGTGTCGCAAGCGAATTACAATTATAACGGTAATTGCTATTAGCATGAGGGCTGCGACAATTCCAATTAAGGCGCCCAATAATGGACTTATGTGGAGTGGCACAGATGTAGAAGCGGCTGAAAAATTAAAGTGAAAATTTAATTTAAAAAAAGGAGAGGCAACTTACAAATGTGCTTCTCTGCCGATTTTAAGGTGGACGCAGGTAAATGTACGGTGGCGCTCTTTCCCTTTTTATTGGAAGCGTAGAGTTGAACATCAAAATCATTGCCAGATTCCAATCCTCCGACAACAAATATTGGACTTTTGGATGAGACACTGCTTACCAATTTATGCTGTTGAACGTTGTAGATTTCCATAATAAATTCTTGCTGCAAACCACCGTCAAATCCTTCAACGCATTCAACAAATATGGATTCTGTAGTCTGATTTTGAATGGAACAATTTGAAAGAGCGTCAGGTTTACCTATAAACATAAAACGATTCGAAAGAAAAATAGTATGAGGTAATTTATACTATTATACCAGCAGGATTTACGTAAAATACGCAGGGCTCTTTTTGCTCTCCTATTTCATTTCTTCCGCTACAGAGTAAAGTCCCGTAGTCGTATTCTGCCGCCGGTTTATACGATAATATACTACGCGAACGGTCAGACGTAACTAAATTTTGCGGAAGCTCCACAATTAGAGCATTGTTATCGGTGTTATTAAATTTCCAAACGAATTGAATATCTGTGGGATTCGCTTCTAGTTCGCAACGAATTTCCGCCACTTCCAGTCTGGCAATTCCATACGATTTCGTTTGTCCGAGTTTGCATACAGGTGCAACTAAGTAGAAGTTTCTAAAATTCCACCAGAGACAAAAGCCAAACTTACATTTAACGTCGAGCTGTACGGAATTACTTTCGCCATCGCCCTCCTGGTTGCTCCCAACACAAGTATAGTGTCCCGCTCTATTTCTCGTTACGCTTTGTAAAACCAAACTCTGGTTACTCACTATTGTCCCCGAGGTGGGATTGTTATGCAGAACCTTTCCCTAATAAATACCACGTTTGATACATAAATTTAAAGCAGCCTTCTACATAACTCACGTTATGCCTCCAACTAACCCTATATACCCAGGGATTGGATTTAATGTTGCATTCAAAATAAACGTCTACCCCTTCACGAATTGTACTTCCGTTTAAGTTACTTCCCAACTCCAACGTCACTAGTGGCACGTCTACAAATTTGCCACAATTCAAAATTGATTCGATTCCTAAACTGGAATAAACAACAAATAAAATCTTACGATGTATGTCCAATCTCCAACCGTCCTCAATTCCGCTATCGGCAATAAGTTGTTGCTGACCGCGGCACGATAAGTATTTTCCGGCATCTTCTATAGAAGGCACAAACGTCAATACGCTTGTCGTTGTATTACCATCCGGACTCGACTGAAATGTCATTCATGAATGTAGATAAAAGGATAACGAGACAACGCAAGTAATTACTAAAAAGGGTCACAAAAACAACGTACTGTTTCTCTAGTGTTAATCATTTGAATGCTTCCTTTCCACCA